ACACTAACGAACGAGTACTTGTTTGGGAGCCCCGAAAGAGTCACATGTGGGGGCTGAGAGCACGCCACTTGGCCCGCTTTAGCCGCCGCCACATGTCACGCTCTAGGCGTTTCCTTTATTTTTTTATTGTCCTGCATCTGTTTTTGGCTTTTTAAATGTTTTTGGCTTTTCACTGGTCTTTCCTAGTTTTTAGACAAAACAATTGTGCGAAAAATACGTTTTTTCCTTATGCGAGAGGCACGGCCGTGCCTATCGCAAGCGGAAAAAAGTGTTTGCCTTTTCTATTACTTCCGCAAGAGACGCGACAGTGCCTCTCAGAAACGAAAAAAACGTGTTTTTTCCCTTTTTTTTTCTTCCGCGAGAGCCACGGATTTGTTTCCGCAAGATGCACGGATTTACTTTCATGAGAGGTACGGTCGTGCCTCTCGAAAACGGAAAAAATATTTTTTTTCTTTCATTAGAGGCACAGATTTACATCTCGTGAAGGCACGGATTTGCTTCTGCGAGAGGAACGGTCGTGCCTCTCCGAAAAGAAAAAAAAATAGCGTTTTCTATTTTTCCTTCCGCGAGAGGTATGGGTTTACTTCTTGTGGAGGCATGGATTTGCTTACGTGAGAGGCATGGTCGTCTCTTTTGAAAAGGAAAAAAACATGCTCCGGGCTCGGTTTTTTCGTTTGTTTTTTTTTTTGTGAAAAAAAAATCATCAAAACCTATCAACGTGTGATCTAGTTTTGAAGATTATCGACGGGAAGAATCCAACGGCTAAATAGGCAAAACGGGTTGTGCTTGGTTCTCTGCTAGATGAGCCACGAAAAATCGTTGGAGCTAGGCTTCCTCCCACATCGAACGTTTTCATTCGATTCGTTCGATAGTTCCCGGCGAACGATTCGTCTGATCTTGAAGCTCCCAGACCGAATGTTCGGGTGTTATTAGGGTCCAATTAAGAACAGCACGCCTAGTTCAGTGCTACATACTCCAAATGCTTTCCTCTTGAGCTTGTTCATGAATGTGAATTGCTTAAGCCTGGATCGAACATTGGACAAGCTCCCTGGGCAACACATTCAGGCCTTATCGGCGTTCTTGAGCCTCAGATGCTCTGTAAAAACCCAAACAAAGTTGGGTGCTGCTCCGCGTCGGTCGGCGGATCTTTTTAAAAGATCTGCCGCCCCGAGAGTCGTTGGACTTGATGGATTGAGTGATCTAGCGTCACTTTTTATTATTGCAACGTAGGTCGTGTTACGAGAAATTTCTGCAACACGAGTCATGTTACAGAAAATTTTGTAAGATATTTTTTTTGCAATAGAGGCCTTGTTTTAGTTTTTTTTATACAACAGAGGTCTTGTTGCAATTTACTTCTTTTTGCAATAGAAGTCTCATTGCAAACTTAATTTTTCTACAACATAGGTCTTGTTGCAGTTTTTGCGACAGAAACTTTGCTGCAGAAACTCATCGTAGTGAATACTGTAGTAAGCAGCGGTCATATTGACCGAAAGAAAGAAAAAAAAACCCGCTCGGTTAGGACACGCGCCGTATGGACGAGCCGGCGGATGCTCGCGTGTGATCCGTCGGTAGAAGCCAAGCGTTTTCCAACGAAGTTTTGCTTATTTTGAATAATATAATATAATTTCTGCTAAACAGATTAAAAAGTGTCACAAACGCATCTCACGGGAATTTACTCCTTTATATATCCCCTCAATGCCAGATTGCAGTGCATATAAACTTATTTCAAAATAGTAAATTTTGATTAAGTTTATGGAAATAAATGGACATTTTCCAATGCCACTGCCACCAGTACATCCGCAGAACAAAGTCGTTGCCTCGGCCACGCACGGAACGCGCGGGAGGCGTTCCGCTTCTGCAGCAGCCTGGCCCTGGCCGGCATCCGCCCACCTTGAGGTCCGTCTTCTTGTCCATGCCGATCGCCGATCGCCGACCGCATCTTCTCCCCGAGGTTCACTGCGCACAACCCACAAGGAAGAAAAGGAACAAGCGAAAACACCGCCAGTTGATGAAAACACAGCGGATACCGTCTCAAATTCGTCGGAGTAACCTGGCGGATACCGCTGGGATTATCCCAAACTGGTCGCCGAATCAATCAAGATCAAGGGAAGCAGCCCAAAGGGGTGACCTGGGAAAACAACTGCGATTCAAAATACGACGAATCAAAAAAGGAATCCGCACTTGTGTTCTCAGTGACACTCCTCTGGACGCGGCTTCTCTTCGCTAGAGCATCAAGCAGTCAATCGACGCACACAGGGGAGAGGAGGAATATGCACTTCCGCATATGCGCAGGCACGCGGGAGATGTAATGGCGGGACACTTGTGATGAGATCTGAGCGGCAGACGCGTTTTTTAAGGGGGCAAAGCACGGGTTTGTCTGGGCATGGCCGCATGGCGAAACGCTGTCCTCTTTTGGAGCACTCAGGCTTGGAGTGCCATAGTGTTGACATCTGGGCAACACCCTTCCCCCCTCTCACGTGGATGGACATCCAGCGCGTGGTTCTAGGCTTCTAGAGTACTTCCTTCGGTCTTTTTTACTCTTCATATAAAAATTATCTGAAGTTAAATTTCGTAAAGTTTGACCATATTTATATAAAAAAATATTAACATCTAAAATGTTAAATTTATACAATATGAAAAGTAACGTCATGACGCATCTACCGTTGTTGATTTCACATTCTAAACGTTTATATTTTTTTATAAACTTAGTCAAAGTTTACGAGGTTTGACTTCAGACAAATTTTATATGCGAACTAAAAAGGATTGGAGGGAGTAACTCCAACGGGACGACCCAAACGGGAGTCTTTTTTTCTGTCTGGGTGGCCGCCTGCCCGGCGTCCGTCCTCTTTTAGATTTGAGTCGGCAGTGCGCCCAACGAGCCGACCCATTTTATGTCCGTGCGTAATTTTTAGTAAAGACCCATTGCCATAGATCATGCCAACGGCCATGTCGTCGCCATGGTTTTGACGCTCCAGCACGCGGGAAAGGATCGCGCGAGCGGAAATAAATTGGCCTAGTGCACGCTGGTTTTGGCACGCCGCGTCCAGCGTACGTTATTAAGAAGGCGCTCCCTCCACACTCTGTCCGCCGCCCACTCGCCTCGCCCCTTCGCACTAGCCACGCCGCCTCTGCGCCACCATGTCGATGCGCCGCCTGGGTGCTTCGGATTTTCGCGGAGTCCGCGAGCGCCACACCGACGCCTTCTCCTCTGAGATCTGGTTTGGTGAGAAACGCCTCGGTCTCGGCACCTTCGACACCGCAGAGGAGGCGGCCTCGTCGGGAGATGAATTTTCCCGACGTGTCGACGAGCCAGCGGCTCGCAGGATCTCGCGCCTCTCCCGCGGCTTTTCATCGACGAGGATCATCGTGACAACCGGAGGCGGCAGCGTCACCTCGCCATCGTCAAGATGGACGAGGGAGCCATGACGGTGTGGCGCCAACGCTTTCCGCAGGACATCGTCAACGAGCGCCAGTTCTACAAGCAAAGGAGGATGGAGCGAGCCGCCTATCGAGAGAACAAGCGTGCGTGGAAGCATGTCGCTCAATTGAACATGAAACTAGGAGAAGCGTCGTCCTGAGACTTCGAGGACGAGCGGTATGTTGACGCCTACATTCAAACATCGGAGGATGACATTACCGAGTTGAAGTCAGAAAATGATGAGTAGTTGATCTTTTCTTTTTTTGTTTATGCTAGAACTATCTATGTATTCTTTTTTTATCGGAAAAAATGGCCGGTGGCGTTGGCGACGAAGGAGGCGGGCGAGGGTGTGCTGTTGGATGGGGAGAGGCCAATGTGCCACCGACCAGCGGGCCTGGGGAGGGAAGAGGGCGAGCGCGCGCGTCCGTCTCGTGTCCACGCCGATGCAAATCCGGCTCAAAAATGGGCCGGGAATGGGTCGACAGGCAGAGGTGAACGAAAAGCGGACGCGCGTCCGTTTGGGTCGGCGCGTTGGGCCGATTTTTCTGTTTGCGCCGACCCAAACGGACGGCGGTGGACGAAATGAGTCGCCCCATTGGAGTTGCTCTTAGGGCATCTTCAAGGCGGACCCGTAAATCTCCTACGACCGTTCAGACTGCGCTGTCCGAACTACAAAAGTCATCCAATGCTGACTTGTATCGGTCCACGAAACGGTCCGGACGCGGTTTCTCTCGCAAACTGAAGACAAAAGTAAGAAAAGTTTGCTGGGGTCCGGACCGATCCCAAACCCGCTTTTGACTGGCCTGGCTCATCAAAAACCTGCCACCTGCCTCTCCCGTGTTTTTCTTTCGATGCACGCGCTGCTTATAGCGTCGCATTCATACCGGCCCAGAGCACGCGAAGGCCGGCATTGATGCCGCAATGTGACCGGAGGGAGGCAGGGAGGGCGGCGCCGACCGATGCGACTTCTCGGCAGCCGCCGCTTCAATGCGGACGCAAGTTCTCGAGGAACCAACTTCGACCGTTGCGCGCGCATTAAAGCTGCTGAGCTGCTCTTCGCATGGTCCTCATTGCGGCTATTTAAACCACGTGCCGGAGTTACACATAGATGCACCCCTGCCCAAGCACCGACCCCCTCCCCTCCCCCGTCTCCGTGCCCGAGCCCCTCCCTCCCCCTCTTCAACCAAAGCTGCGGCAATGCCAAAGTTGTGGTGCTCCGCGACACATACACACACTATTTTTTTTGAGTAATGCATACACACACTAGAAAATTGACATGTCTGACATGATCATAGATACATGCACACAGTAGGTGGGAGCTTTTTTTCTGTAAAAAAAGCGAACAGGCCTTAAGTGTACACATGATGACCGGCCCAGCTAGCCTGGGCCACGAAGACTCGAACTGGCGCCCGATACGAATACGGCCTACTTTCAGATGGTGGGGCCAGACAGGCCACGTCAGCTTCGTTACTACTCCCAAAATGAAGGCCGTTGACCTGCTGCCACTCCCTCCTCCGGGGAAGCTCACACCCACGGTTCCTCGGCCGTTCCCTCGCCTGATCGCCCCCCGTCTCCGCTACCGATGGACGCCGTCGCCTTCTCCCCCGCTCCGAACCCCAACGCCGCGCCATTCCCCTCCGCCTCCCCGTCCTCGCGCGCCCGACGCTTCTCCATCCGCGGCCCGCGGCGGCGGCGCCCGCTCCCGGCCCTCCGATCCAGCGCCTCCCCCTCCGCCTCCCACCACGACGTGGTCGTCGTGGGCGCCGGGATCGTCGGCCTCTCCATCGCCCGCCACCTCCTCCTCCACACCCCGCTCTCCGTCGCCGTCGCCGACGCCGCCGTCCCCTGCTCCGGCGCCACCGGCGCAGGTACCCACACCCCCTCCTCGCGCTCGCGTATGCCAAGGTCAGCTTGGATGCATCCTCCAGGGTTCTGATTGATTTTGGTTCGGCGGTGCTGCTGCTGCAGGGCAGGGGTACGTGTGGATGTCGCACCGGACGCCCGGGAGCGACACGTGGGACCTGGCGGTGCGGAGCAAGCACCTGTGGGAGGACCTCGCGGCCGAGATGGACGGCCTCCGCGCCGGCGGCGCGCGCGAGAGCCTGGGGTGGATGAAGACAGGTAAAGCCATGTGACAGTTGTCGATAAGTCGTTGACTCTGATCGAATTGCGGATTAACTTCTTTCTACCCCCTCAAATACTAGTCAGTGGAATAACTACAGACTACAGTAGCAGTATATTTAGCTCGAAATGGCAGTGAAAGGTCAACTGCATCTCCTCTGGTCCAGTAGATTTCACTAAGTTAGTTAATTAAGGCTACCTTGGACTCCGACCTTTCTGATGCTATGTGCAGCTATATGGTACTTGAAATTGAAATGACTCACTTCTTCGATGACATGTCTTACTGCATTTCACTATATGCACATCCCAGATTATTTATTTCTCAGTCACGGCGAGAGAGATTGAACAGAAAGTGAAATGCTTGTTTTGTGAAGGAAGCTTATTAGTTGGAAGAACCTCCAAAGAGCTGGCTACGCTGGAGGAGAAGACTAAGGTTCTGTCTCAGGCAGGCATCAATGCGGAGTGCTTGTCTGCCTCTTCGTTGCATGCATTAGAACCCGCACTCTGTGTTGGAAATGATGGTGGTGCCATGTTCTTACCTGAAGACCGTCAAATCGATGCGTTCCAGGCTGTGTCTTTGATTGAAAAGGTTTCTGATCTAGAACTTTGATTCTTCTATGATAAGTGTGGTTAGAAGAATCCTTGTACGTCTCTAACTGTTAACATTTTCTCTTATTAGATCAATAGGTCATATACTCCAAAAGGGAGATATATGGAGCTCTACAATGATCCTGCCATGTCATTGATAAGGTATGAAGGTCTCTTCTTTTCAGACTACTTCTGTTGGTGAACACAAGAGCAACAGCTATCAGGCTACTGGAATTGCAGCAAAGTAGCTTCTATAATTAGCTTGACGATGATGTTATCCATCACCCTGTTAGGATGCCTTCTCATTTATTCCGAAGCCATTTCCATTCTTCTGTATTATTGATGTTCCTTTTACTTTATGCAGATCAGAGGTTACTGGAAGGGTTGAAGGTGTCCAAACTTCTAAGAACATCTTATATGGCAGAAAAGCTACTGTAGTTGCTTCTGGCGCTTGGACTCGGTCCTTATTGCATAGTTTCCTAGGACCAAATTCTACACTGGATATTCCTGTGAAGCCACGAAAGGTACGTGCTATTTTCCAAATTTCTTTGATTAACCTTTCATACGAAATATTTCGATTGATTTTCCTGGTTTTTTCAACATCTCATAACATAAAAAAAGTGTAATTTTTTACATTATCCATTTCAGGGTCATCTGCTTGTGTTGGAAAATTTTGACATGCTAAAGCTGAATCATGGCATAATGGAGCTGGGATATGTTGACCATCAGGGCGATAATTCACATAGCATACACTTGTCGTCAACATCCAATGAAGATGAGCATGACGCCGCATCCATATCAATGACAGCAACATTAAATACAAAAGGGCATTTAGTTTTAGGTGATCTATAGAGTCCAAAGTTATCCCTTTGTTCCACCTTTTGCTGACCTTTTTGGAGATCTTCTGAAATAAATCTATGGATGAGTAGATCAAGCTTTTTCACAGTAAATAATTTTTTGATTCATACAAGAATATCTTTTCTATATAACTTTTTTCGCCAACTATGTTAGAAAATGTGAATCCTTGATCACAAATATTTTTTTACAGGAAGCAGCAGGGAGTTTAAAGGATTTTCAAGGGAGGTTGATAAATCCATACTGAAGAGTATATGGGACCGTGCAGGAGAATTCTTTCCTGCCATCAATAATGTTCATCTTGATATTGACGAGGACAAAGAAATCAGAATTGGGCACCGCCCCTACAGTAAGGCCCTTTGGTTTTAGAACAACAAAATAGTGCCTCAAAGATATTTCAATGCAATGTTATTAGCTTTGCACTCTATATTTGATAGAAATGCCTCATCTGTTTCAGTGCCTGATGGGAAGCCAGTTATTGGATTTGTTCCGGATATGTCAAATGTTTTGATTGCAACAGGACATGAAGGAAGTGGACTTGCTTTGGTAAGTCGATCGTGCAAACCTGCTCCAGTTAATGTTTTTCCCTCTTCGTGCTTAGTATTTTTGTAAGCAGTTCAGCATATGACATTTCCATGCTCCTGGAGAACAGGAGTTGCAGCAAAGATAGCCCCATTGCAGCCCCCGTTCCTGGGAGTGTTCCCATTCATTGCATACAATTAGTTGTGCACTGTGCTACCCTGGTTGCATTTTTTTGTATTTCTAGTTCTGTGAGATGACCAGTTGAATGACCCTGCATGCGGGTATCATATTCCAACTGAGATAGAGTAAACCATATGTCAGCATGCGCGTTGCTTTCTTTTTGAGCCTCTTCATTTTTTGAGTTTCCATATACATAAGCTGGAAGTCGCCTATCTAGAGCGCAGAATGAGGCTGTACTTAGATGCAGACTCTGGTGAATTTCGACCACCAGAAAGCTAAAGCCTAAGGCATTTTCATGTTGTGCATGATCAAGCTCCATGTACATAGATAATGTGTCGTTTACTTGCTAATATTGGCATTCTGAACCCATCTACCTACAAGTAGCTCAAAACATTGTTGACATTTGCAGTGACATAACAGACATTCCCTTGCTATGAAAGCTTGCTCCCTTGATTGAATAGAACAACAACACACAGTTGCTTGATATGGTTGACTAAATACAGTTATGAGATTTACACATTCTTAATGGTTGGGATAAATTTCTACTGCTATTTCCCTTTTTAAGAAGTTAATAAAAAATGATATTCTTCTTCTGTTAATTTTACTTCAGGCGCTAGGTACTGCTGAAATGGTGACGAATATGATTCTTGGTGACCCTGGAAGAGTGGACTTCACGCCTTTCTCCATAGAAAATAGATTTTCAGGTAATTCTACTCCCTCCGTCCCATAATATAAGAGCGTTTTTTACACTACAGTAGTGTCGAAAACGCTCTTATATTGTGGGACGGAGGGAGTAATAAACACCATGGTAACCTATTTGCGACTAAATTGCTGGTATGGTTCAATATATCTGCCTTAATTTAACTAGCAGTTTTCTTCTGAACTTCTCCATTCTCATTGGAGTTCATGGCAACTCTGCATGCCGCGTATCAGTTCATTGCACGAAGTATACTGGATGGAAAGGATGCTCCTTTTGGCAATTCGCAATGTTGATCCATGAAATTTTTATTTCTATTGGATTCAACTTCTTTTAAAATTTGACACAGTAGTAAAATGTCAAAATTTGGGAAGTGCTTTTCTTCCCTTACATCTGTCCATACCTAAGTCATTAGTATGTATCCTAGGTGTGAAATATTTTGGTTTCAGTACAAAGGACGATGCCATTGGGTTTTCTGCTTCTGCTTGAGGAACTTTGTCATCCGAGCAACTGGGTTATGGGCAAATCCTGATGTCCTCCAAACCCAGTAATCCCATTTGAGTTTTAGGTCATCTACTGATGCTTACTTTCTATTCGATGCACTCAGTGGGTTAGCTGCTGCTTGGATCGATCTTGTTTCATAGAACTCCTTGGCGCAGCTTCTGACTGAGGTTGCTGAAATTTGCTGTTGAGTACCGCCGAGAAGCATTCCTCCAGTCTGAGCCAGATCTCATCATCACTTCAAACTCCTGATAGCTAATGCGACCATCCTGTTGCATATGCATATAAAATGTCAGTTATCCTATAGAAGAATGTGTTTGTGTACTCTTGGACTGGAAAACCCCATGGATGGCAGCAATAAGTTAGTTATTATTGCTTCATGGATTTCTCGTTACACTAGAATTAGGTAAACACTAAACAACGCTGGCATTTCAGCAAATTATGGGGATTGTTGTTGATTTACGCTTCTTTCCAGGTGTAGTAATTTCCTTTTGTCAAACATTAGTTGGCACTTCCCGAGAACGATGGGGGAAAGCGGGTAGTTTTCAGATGTGCCCTTTTCACTGGAAACAGCCTCAAACCGTCTACAGTTTCAGGATTTAAAATTGGGGTTTAGGGTAAACAATCCAGCTAGCTTAAAATTACATTGGATTCATTTGATATGGATAAATGGTGTCTACAGTATCAGGATTCAAAATCAGCAAGGTCCACTTTCCTGAAATACAGCAGCATTAAGTGATCAATGTTTTTGATTAATTTGTTGTCTAAACTGACCTCATCCGTGTCAACGTCACGTATAATGTCTTTAACCACTTGCTCATCTGGGCCTAGTTCATCATCACCTAAAGCCTCCATCAATTCCTCCATTTCAATATATCCATTGCCATCTTTGTCAAAGTATTTGAAAGCTTCAGGTAGGTACTGCTCATTACTCATTTTTTTGATGTGAAGTAAGACTGTCACAAACTCGTCAGTGTCCAAGGTGCCATTTCCATCTATGTCACCCTGGAAAAGGAAGAAAGTGTGTTAGAACATAATGTAGCTCGTGATTAATACTTGGTTTCAATTGCGTTTAGACTCGTGTCAGAATTGGGAAAGCTAGATATGTGCCACTGTTAAGTACTCAATTGTGAGATATGCCCCACGAATTCCACTTTAAAATGACGCTGCTAACTTTATTTTTCAAATCCTATTATAAACCGGAATACCCCTCTAAATGGAAGAAAACGCTCCTTTAAAAGGAAGATAATGGTATATTTGTCTTTTCATGCCTCACAATGTCATCTGAAACAATTACAGCAAGTTTGCGGAGTCAGTTTTCAGAAGTAGAACTTTGTAGCGACATATCTTGGAATTGAATACTTTGCAATGGCATATTTCTAGATTTCCCAGAACATTTTTCGTTGCATTTGTACAGCTCTCACTTGATTTATTTTAATCTAGCTTCCACTATCCCAATCATCATAGCTATTTTGTTCATATAAGAGAGCAATGAAAACGTCGAAGTGCATATAGTAGGCACTCACAGCTTCTAACAGCATCTGTATCTCTGTCTCAGGAACAGCATGACCGTTTATCCGCAAGCCCTCCTTGAGCTCCTCAAGCGTCAAAGTACCGTCCTTGTCCTTGTCCATCATTTGAAACATCTTAGTGTAGTTCTCGATGTCCTCTGGCGGTAAATTCTTGGCAACGACCTTCATTAATCATTGGAAAATGATTCACGTCAAAGAATATATCACACTGGAAGAAAAATCAAGAACAATGTAGCCCGGTTCTGTGCAACTTACTCCGAGTGCCTTCTTTTTGAACTTGTTCATGGACGAGAATTGCTTAAGCCTGGATCGAACAAGCGCTCCAAGCGACACATTCGGAGCCTTGTCGGCGTTCTTGATCCACGGATGCTCTGGTTCGTAGGAGAAGTTAACGCTCTTAGTTCAGTGCATAACACTATTCATCATGTATCGCTAGACCTCCGGTTTCCCAATAATACCATGAAATAAGCAAGTTTGCTGTGAACTTGTAGCAAATTTGTGAATGCATATTGTGTTTGTTTGGTTTGCCCACGAGCTGGAAACTAGACCAAATTAAGGTGGCCATTACCAAAGACTTGCTTTGCCGTCAAGCGGGTAGCAGGATCCTGATCAAGCATCTTCTTGACAAGGTCCTTTGCAGTTTGGGAGACCTTGGGCCATGGCTCCCTCTCGAAGTTGATTTCACCCCGGATTATCGACTCGGCGATGCGCTCATCGTTGTCTGCGCCCGGTTCATCCGGACATAAAATCACATGAGCACTGGGGTTCAGTCATGAGAGGAGGAATGGACCTGCATTCTTTCATGCCGATGAAAGGTGAAGAAAGAAGCAAGGAAGAAAGGCACGCACCTCCCCAGAACGGAGGCACTCCGCAGAGTAGGATGTAGAGGATGACGCCGGCGCTCCAGACGTCGGCCTCCGGGCCGTAGCTCCTCATGAGCACCTCCGGCGCCATGTAGATCCCGCTGCCGACCACCTCGGTGAAGCGCTCCCCGGGCTCGAAGTAGACGGAGAGGCCGAAGTCGATGGCCTTGAGCGGCGAGTCCTCGGCCTTGCCGGCGAAGAGGAAGTTCTCGGGCTTGAGGTCCCGGTGCATGACCCCGTTGTCGTGGCACAGCTGCACGACGTGGGCGATGGTGCGGCCGATCTTGGCGGCGGCGCGCTCCGTGTAGTGGCCCCGGGCGAAGATGCGGTCGAAGAGCTCGCCGCCCTCGCACAGCTCCATCACCAGGTGCACGCCCTCGGGGTCCTCGCAGGCCTCGCGGAGCCGCACCACGGCGCCGCCCGCTCCCTCGAGCGCCGACATGCGCAGCAGGATCTCCACCTCCCGCCGCACGTCCTCGGCGTCGGCGGCGCGGCGCAGGCGCTTGCGGCGGATGGTCTTGCACGCCAGCGCCTCGCCCGTGGCCGCGTCCTCGCAGCGGCGCGTCACCCCGAACTCCCCGCGCCCCAGCTCCGCGCCTAGCCGGTACCGCTTGGCGAAGCCCTCCCCGCCGGGCGCGCACTGGTCGTCGTCGCCCAGGATCGGCGCGCTCCGCCTCCACTTGGTCGACCTGCGCTTCTTCTTGCAGCAGCTGCTGCTGGCGTCGCTGTCGGGCGGGCAGTCGTCGGCGCTGGCCACGGGCATGATGGCGGCGGCGGCGCGCCTCCGGGCCAGCAGCCTGGAGGCCGCGATGACAGAGTAGCAGCCACCCATGGCGCCGTTGCACGGCCAGACGGAGGCCGCCGGGTGCTTGCCCCTGCCTCCGCCTCCGCCTCAGCGCGCGCCCCCTGCCTCGGTTCCGTTCGCGCGTTCCACGCACACGCACGCGCGGGGTGGAAGGGAAGGAGGGAGGGAGGAGGGAAGGGGGGGTAGCTACCGGTCTGCGCGGTTGGCCGCTGGTCTCGGAACCCGCGAGCGCGCCACTGCTTGCGTGCCCCGTACGGCCGGCCTGTGTACGGGAGGAGCCCGGCCGGGCCGAGCAGGGGCGGCCCGTCAAGGCCCACGGTCATGCGAGAGGCCTTGTCCCATCAGACAGCAGTGGCTTACCTCAAAAAACAAAAAATCAGACAGCAGTGGCATTCTGGAGATTAATGGAGACGAACTCGCCGGCAGCGCCCCAGCGAATCAGACTGTCAGAGAACGGAGACGAACACAGCGCTCGGATTCTCGCCCATCTCCGCATCTGTTTCACTTTTCACACGCGCGAACATCTCTCCTCCTCCGTTTCCGGATGAGCCAACTGCCTCCTTCCTTCGGTTGATTGGATTCATTTTCTCCCCTCTCCGACTCCGGCGTCCGGCGAGATTTTGCTGGTTTTCCGCCGGGGTCAGATCCTGCGTTGAAGCAGGTAAAACCTTCCACCTTCGTTTTGATCTTGCCTTGCGATGCTAGCACTTGCTGTTGCTTGGTTATGTTTTCTTGATTCATGAGATGGGGATTGGGGGCGGTGTAGCTACTCTGTTCTCCCCTCTATTCCGGCTACTGTTAATGTCTTTCTTTAGATGAGATAATAATGGGGTACTGGTGATGTGGGATGTACTATGGTTTTCAACCTAATTTGTGATTTTGCTGTTTCAGACTGACCAGAAGCGAAACAATGCGGTCGCCGTCGCTGCTCTCGTAGTGCCTCGCCGGCTTACTGTCTCATGACAAGGCCACAGCTCACTGCGTCGACATCGTGCCAGAGAGGGATCAGTCACGCCTGCCGTCGCCGGCCGTCGAGATCGTCCCATCACAGGTTGCTTGTTTCCAATTGTTGTTCATGGCAAAGTTACAAGTCCTGCCTGTTCAGAACATTCCCCGTCCATAAGGGCATTTCGTTATCTGCTGACTGAGCTGGCATTGTTTGCATTGGTATGCAGAATGTTCATCCGTACAAGTATGCGGGCGACAATATCGAAATGCACGGCATGAATATGTTCAAGGTGGTTGATTATTTTTTCCTATTCTTGCTATTTGTTCCAGCTTATTTTTGTTCAGATTTATGGACTTGTGCTTTAATCATAGTGGCTATTTGCCGAAAAAGGCTTTCGCCCCGCTTTATATTATAAAGCAACTGCCCAAGCCAAACATCCAACAAGGTTCGCACACACACACAAGTCTCACAAACAGGGGGTATCCAAGGGTTAGTGCTGAGGGCACAGCTCAACAAGCCCTGAAAACAG